AAGTTGGATTCCAGCAGAATACTATGTCGTCCAGGAATCTGGGTCTGCCTTGTGCAACTCCCCCCACCTCACACTACCCCCACACTCAGTCATTGTCTGAGAGTAGCCTTGGCACAAACCAGGCAATGAATTTCAAAGCACAGCAGCTGAGGCCCTTGGTCAAGAACACTCTCCATGTAGGAGGTTTGCAAGGCATACGCTCATGGCTGCCACGTGCCCTCTCTCTAGTCTTCTGCCTTCAGAAATTTTAAATATTTATTCCCATTTTATGAATTAATTACTGAGGTCAAGGGTGCTTAGTGGATTAAGGCACTGGCACAAGGTCCAGAGTTATTAAATTTGGAAAGAGAAACCAGAACCACTTATACCCTGCTGTCCCTAGTGATACACTTATGGCTTCCCAATTGAAAATATTTTTAGTGGATATTAAATTATTTTGAATTTTAATCTGCCAAGCACTTCTCCTTTTTGCTAGCAGCAGTACTATATTCTTTCAGTCATGAAATTTTTGTCTTGGTGTGGTCCCATCTGCCTGACCATAAGCAAGTCCTCCAGGAAGGAATACCCACTCAAATTGGGCCAATTATCTTCTTCCCTGGGATTTTCAAAGTTCGAACATCCTGACTGCTTGGGATAGAAGGCTGGGGAGTTGTTGGCAGTCATGCTTCCTGCTGTGGTTTAAGTTGGTTTCTGGGAATGGAATAAAAATGCACAAGGAAACAGAGATGAGACAACTAATGGCAATACCAATTGTCCTTGAGGTTCAGCTGCACTTCCTATCTTCTGACCTTTATATAAGACACCCAGTATCCTTCTAGCAATTTCCCGATTTTGCCTAAACTGCAGTGATTTTCTGTGCCCATCTTGGCCTTGAATATGGGTATGATCTTCCATCTGCCAGTTAGGATTTTTGGGTCTCAGTTTTCCTTATCTTTAAAATGGGGCTTAGAATAAATGATCTCTAAGGTCCTTTGTAATTCTATAAGTCTTTTATCTAAAAGAAAGTTCTATGTTTGAAGAGGATATAATTTCTTTTGGACCTGTTTTGCATATAGGAATTGGAGACCTGGGATGCCAATTGATATATGTGAGGTTGGACTTTTTGTCTTCATTGGAAGAATGAATGCAGCCCTTCCTGCATTGGTAAACAGCTGGGTTTTCTTAACAGTGACCTATAAATTGGTCTGAAGAGCCATATCCATTCGTCTCTCTTCTGTGATATTTTTGTGTTACCATCTATTATGTATATTTCTATAACAGGACTTGATTTAATGGCAGGAAAAAGGAAATTCAAAATGATAACTCTGGAGGTGGCAATAATAACATTTCCACTGGAAATAATGTAATAAACACTAGCATAGTTCTATATATGTATGCTTTATAATTTCTTAGTATTGGGCGCCTGGTGTGACTCAGTCAGTACAGCATGTGACTCTTGATCTTGGGGTCATGAGTTCAAGTCCCACATTGATCGTGGAGCCTACTTAACTAGTGGGTGAAGGTATGAGTAAATAGGTGATGGGGGTTAAGGAGTGCATTTGTTGTGATGAACATTGAGTATTGTATATAAGTGTTGATTCACTATATTGTACACCTGAAACTAATATTACATTATATATTAACTAACTGAAATTTAAATAAAAACTTTAAAAAATTAAATTTTAATTCTTAAAAAGTTCTCCATTTAATTCTCAAAAGTTTTCTATTACTTGAAAATTGGAAGAATTTATTGACTTTAAAAAAATCTGCATGTATTTTAAGTTTGTTGGCCAGGGAAGAAACTAGAATGAATTCTTTGGGAGAGAATTGACCTTTTTTTTTTTTTTTTAATACCTGAATAGAGTGTTTCCTTATGAAATAGAGCCAAACCCCACATAAGGAGTTTTCCTACTTGGGATTCATTTAGATAAAAATGATTAAAATGGGCTTACACAAGAAAGTGAAAAAGAATATTGCAATTGTCCATAGATTTAAGGAAGTATTTAGGAAACTTGAAGAGAAAATGAGAAGAGCTAGACTGAAGGAGTAAACAAGGAGAAAGCTCAGGCTTTTAGTCATATATTGGCCTTAGGTAAAATATTTCCTGGGGAAGACATGTTTGACGACTTTTGAGACACAGTGTGGTGTCTGATGTTTATTCAAAATAATGTTGGGTTGAGCACTGTGCTTTATTTTTCCTCCTTTGCCAAACTATTTAGTAAAAACCTTCTGCATAAAATATTTTTGTCTAAATGTTGTTTTAGAGAATGAAAAAAGAAGGGATATATCCTAGCCAAGTGGGGAGGGGAGAGAACGTCAGGTGTAGGAAGTGAGACGCAAGTGGGACAATCAAAAACTCAATGCCTGGTAGGCTGGGTGGCTCAGTTGGCTGAGCATCCAACTCTTGATTTTGCCTCAGGTCATGATCCTAGGGTTGTAGGATTGAGCCCCGTGTCAGGCTCTGTGCTGAGCGTGGAGCCTGCTTGGGATTCTCTCTTTCTCTCTGCCCATCTCCTGCACATGCTCTCTTTCTAAAACACACACACACACACACACACACACACACACACACACACACACACACCACACTTCTTTCAGAATGAAGAAGCTAAGGCACAGGGAAATCATGTGACTTATTTCTGGCTAGAAGATACTATAGACAAAGAGAACAAAGAGCCAGTTTTTCTGAAGTCCAGCTTCATAGCTCCTTGCTGGATGACAGCATACACTCGATGACCTTCTTGAGGCAACTGATTAAGTTACATTTCTGGGCAGATGGAAGTCATCATGTTACCCATGACAGGTGTTCTTTCCAATATTGAGACATCCCCCTATGTCCCGTTCATGTAGTGCCTGCTCTGTGTTTATGGAATTAGACAGCACTTGAACCTGGAATGTACATTACTGCATTTGAGGCCAACTGGCAGGGCAATCCCACTTTCATGGACCTTGAAGCCTCTACAATTTGAGCAGGGGCCTCTTTAAGAAAAAGAATAAAAACCTTCAAATATAACATTAGATATAAAAGTGCATATTTATCTGGAAAAAGAAATCACAACCAAACACATATTTTTAAAAAGGTGGGAAATATCACAAGCATAAAAAAACAGAAAAATAATGATTTTTACATTATTTAGCAGCCAGTCACTTGTCTTTTATAGTTTCTTTCCTGCATCCTATTTTGACAGCTTCTTCACATAATAGTATTTTGTGATATCATTTTCTATTGAGAGAACAGAAAGATAATCCAATCTTTCCTCTAGAGAGGTTGATTGACACTTTTTTATATTTTTGATAATAATAAAAATACAGATGCGCTTTTCTGTTTGTAAGATGACTACAAATTTGTACTCTTTCGCCATAGGAATTCTCTTTGATCCTTCTTTTGCGTGATTCTCATCAAAAAAGAAAAGACATGTATGGTGTTGGTACCTATATCTTGTATATTATTGAGTACCTTCCTGATAGGAGGGAACTTCTGTTTTAATTCTGTATTTATAGGAACTGAATCTATGTATAATTTTACCTGTCTGATAAAAAATTCTTCACCTTATTGCACATAATATCTTCTGGATCCAGATCTTTCAACCTTGTTTCTCTTCTAATTCTTTCATGCTACTGGTTCATATCATGGTAATACTTTGGCCCAGCACCTTTGTGTCTGGTGCAGGATGAGTTGACACAAGTGGATAGAGGGAATATTCTTGTAGGTCATTCCTACAAAAGGAAAACTTGCAATAACTTAAGTATATGCAGAAGTGACCGAGAACCACATACATGTATCACATAAATCAAAACTGAAAATATCCCTAACTGAGCTGCTGTTTAGCCAAGTTGTAAAAATGCCTATAGCCACTCAAAAATTACCCAACACAGTTGGAAGTTCAATGATGAGAAAAGCAGAGTGGAAAAAGATAAATCTTAACCAGTTGTGATTAAATTATTATTTTGGCAAATTTTACAAACATACAGTGACCATATGAACATATTGTTGGGGCTCCTCCCAGAGCCTTGAAAGCGGTTTGTGTGAGTGAAGCTAAAGCTTAAGCTTCATTAGCTTCACGGTAAAACCAACTCAACTAACTGGTCAAGTTATTGCTTATCAGGTGCATTCCATTCTGGGCCAAATTCTTTGGGTAACAGTGTATATTCCAAAAGCATGCTATTGCTTCCTTGGGCTTTTTTTCTCCCTAAGAGAATTCTGGCTTTGGCAGGTAGCAGTGCATAATGAAGACTTGCTTACTTTTCTTCCTAGTGAGACCGTTATGATTAGATGTGATAAACCTAATCATAACTTTAATAAGAAACTGCTTTCACCTTATTATTTGCCCAAACTGTGTGTGGGGTTTTATTGGCCATAAACTGTGTTTACTAATTCTTCAGGTTCATGAACAAAGAGACCTGGCCTTTTTGGAAGGCGTTCTGGCCAAGTGGTTTCTGAGCAGCTCAACTATTATATGCTCAAATGCTCCAAGGCATCAAAATGGGGTGTTGACAGATGCACAAAATTGAGAGGGGCTTCCTGGCAAAATGAAGAAACTTGTTTCTGCTCACTAGAGTCAGCCTTATTAATTTTACTCTAATAATTTATCCTCTTTTTTCCACTCCCTGCCCCCAGTTTATTGTAGTGGATTTCCTTATTTCTTTATTGAAGAGTATTAGTAAAGAGATTTCTAAATAGAGTGAGTTAGCCAAGGTCTTAATAGGAAGGGAAGGAGTAATTGAAGACAGCTTAGTACAGAGATTTTTTGCATAGGTACAGGCAATGGTAATGTATACAGGATGGTGTTGTACCCACCCCTCTTGTAGCAATAACCAACCATCACATTTGTAACCTTGAAGGGTCTAGTGGAGGGAGCCATCACTGACACTCGGGGAGAGAACAGTGGCTGTAAAGGAGGGCTGTGTAGCAGAGGCAGTGACTTCTAGTGGAAATATTGCTAATTTAAAGCCTGACAGTATTGAGGCAGGGGAATAAACATCCTGACCTTCCTTTCGTATTTCTCTTTGATCTTTTGCAGGTGATTCTCATTGGCTGAACTCAACAGCAAACCAAAGGGCATGCAAGTTTATTGATACAATCAATAAAGTTCAGGTGAAGGGCACAGGTAAGGGTAGAGAGTGGATTTAGAGGGCAAAGAAAAAAATATCCAGCACAGAGTGCTACTTAAATTGGAGGAATCTTGCCATTACAAGACTGGCCCAAGAGGAAAATATCTACATATTCCTGTCTTAAAAAATAGGCTTGCAGTTTTGTCTAGCATCCCAAATTTCTTTCTCTCCCTCTCTCTCTTTCTCTCTCTGTCCGTCTCTCCCCATCCCCCTTTCTCTCTCTCTTTTTCAGAGAAGGACTGGCTGCCCAGCTTGAGGGAGTGCAGTCATCAGATAGCCTCAAGGTGTCAGCTCCTTTAGGGTTTGTCTCAGCTGCCGAGAGCCGTCTTGCTGGAGGTCAGGTTGTATTTTCTGGGGATAGGCTTAAGCTGAATACAATTAAATGGTTCAAAACCCTTCTTTTTACGTATCTATTACAAAGTGTGACCTGTTAAATATTGTCTTAACCTTCACCACTTTTCTTTACAGAAAACCTATTCCAGGAATGACATTAAACCTTTCTTTTGAATATTTTTACTGGAGCAAGTCTTTCCTCATTTCAATGGCTATAATAAAATGAATTTTCCATATGCTAGAATTATCTTTTCCCTTTTTCAGTCAGTGGTATTTTTCAAACTCCATATATTCTAGATGTTATTTCTTTAGTTTCATTGGCTTGGAAGAAATATGTCAATGTTTATCTTTTTTTTTTTTTTTTGGCTTTTTAAGTTCTTATTTTAACACCAGTTAACATAGTGTTATATTGGTTTCAATAGTTCCATCACCCAATGCGCATCACAAGTGCACTCCTTAAATCCCACCACCTATTAAACCCTCCCCCGTACCCTTCCCTCTGGTAACCATGTCAGTGTTTATCTTAGTAAGAAATTCTATTGAATAAATTTGTGTATTTCCAAGATTGAAATGGACTAAAATTCTACCCCACTCATTCTGTAATGCCTGATGCAACTCATTCAGAGAAAATCCCATTTGGTTATGGTTCAGCCTGGTCACTGAACATTTCTCAGCCTCATTTTATGATCTGCAATAGACACTCTTACCTTGTAACATGAGAAATCTGAGATAATTTTGTATTATTTGTTCTTCCATTACTTTTCAATCATGCTGATCCTTTTTCATCTTCCTTAGGGAATTTATGAATTTTCTAATTGATACATTTCAAAAAGAGCTTTATGAATTCTTTAATATCACATCTTTCTCCAGGTCTTGTGGTGTACTGATAATGGATATAAATTTCTTTCATAGTGCTTTACTTTTTTAAAATGCATTCCTTAGTTTTCAATTTTTATTTTCTTGCCTAAGTTTTTGTTTATGAATGAAACTGGGGAAAAATATGGACTGCTTGGAAAGCTTGTAGAATCACTAAATATACAAAACAATATAAAATTCTGGTGCAAAAGACACATTGATTATGTTAAACAAAATTTTTCTGTGTTGTATGAATTAAGAGGGGGAGTAAATGAAAATGATTTAGTAAGAAGAGTATTGTATAGATTCAAATATTAAGCAAAAAAATCAAGCACATTGTAATATCACAAAGATAAAGTTTTCAAAAGTACAAAGGTGCTCTGTTGTTTAGTATACATGCAAACATACCGTACATATATACACACTTGAAGCAAATATATAAAGATATATTTGATTATGATACATATTGAATTCAAAAATAGTTTTAGGATGGGGAGGGTAATAGAATTATGAATGGATACACAGATTTTCAGTTGTTTTTGCATTTTTCATCTTTTCTGTCAAGTTTCACTCTGGCTATTTTCTTTTTATGTGTCTTCTAGTTTACTAATCCTCTCTGTAGTTTTGTCTAATTTGCTATAAACTGTTTATTGAGTTCTCAGTTTCAGTTACTATTATTTACAGTTCTAAGATTTCCATTCATTTATAATAGTTTCCAGCTCTCTGCTGAAATTATTCATCTAACTGTCTAATTTCTGTCAAGAACTGAGAATGGTCTATTATTTTATCTAATTTTCAAGCTAACAAGTTAGCATGCTACCATTTCATGCATCTTGACAGAAGACATAGGCTCTTTTGGTCAGAGTAATATGACATATTACCCACAGCACAGCAAGATGCCTGTGCTTCATGATTGCATTGATTCCCTGTGCTCTTCAAGTCCCACATGAAGAATAATTTAGCTGGGTACTGCAGTGGGTTTATGTCAATAGCCAAGCATCTCCAAATTAGGAAATACAACTCTTTCATAATGAACTGCAAGCAAATATTCCATTTTCCCTGGACGGAGACTTTATCTTTATTATACTACATAGTAAGAAAATCTTCCTGTTGCATCAGAGGGGGAAGTTATCACTTTTTAAGGCTGTTTTCTACATAAGTATATTTTAAAAGATGGCCCAGAATAAAAGCTGTCAGTAAATTTCCTTGTAAGATAGGAGAAACTCAGGAGACCCATAATGAATTGTATATTCCAGCAATTTCTTGAACGAAATCACATATTTTAAAACTATTTTGACTATCTGCCTCTTCCATACCTATCTTCTTCTTATCTGTTATTTGCCCTTGGTTTTTAGTCCTTAGCCATTTTGCAATAGTCCTAAAAAGTGATTAAGAATTAATTGTTTTGATGTTTTATATCACTGAGGTTTTAGTGTTGCTTGTTACAACATGCCTAGCTTAGCAGAATGTTATTTTTACTGCAGTTACTGCTATCATTATTGGAAATTACTCAATGAGTTCTTCCAGAAACAAAATGGGAGTGTAGAAGACTTAAATTCAGATAACAAAGTGTCCACATGCTGCTATGAGTAATACTTCTAACCCTACTTTCTACCTTTTATTTATTCCTTCTTGAGGAAGGAGGGCATATTAGTTTGGTGACATTGAGTAAAGCTTTTATAAACTTTCATCTGAGGCTCCTCCTTTCTTTTTTTTTTTTTTAAATTTTTTTTTTCAACGTTTATTTATTTTTGGGACAGAGAGAGACAGAGCATGAACGGGGGAGGGGCAGAGAGAGAGGGAGACACAGAATCAGAAACAGGCTCCAGGCTCTGAGCCATCAGCCCAGAGCCCAACGCGGGGCTCGAACTCACGGACCGCGAGAACGTGACCTGGCTGAAGTCGGACGCTTAACCGACTGCGCCACCCAGGCGCCCCTCCTTTCATAGCATCCTGAGTGAACCTTCTGCCATAAGGTGAAGAAACCCTGCTTGGTGAGTAACCCTTCCACACAAATTGAAGAGGGCAGAATGCTCCAAAAGCTAACAAGAAAGGTTCTGCTACATATATCCCATGAATTGTTCCCAATCTCATTAACCCAAATCTTCCTCTTCTCTTGGATAAGACTGACTGAGGGGATGAGGAGGAAAGCACAAACTAGAAAAGAACTTCTTAATATTTCAAAGAGAATAGGCTTTTCTATTTCACAGGAACAGCAAAACCACCATGTAAGGCAGAAAACATGCATGTTTCTCTTCTTTTACTGCTATAAATTGCTGGGAGCAAAGACCTATTTTTGTCTAGTGCTCTGCTATGACTGGATAGGTGTGTTTAATTGCAGGAGGAAAATGGTAGGAAGCCTACATGTGGCAATAGGCCAAACTGCATTCTCTAATTCAGTTTACTGGTAACCAAACATATTTTGATACTTCATCTGTTTATACCTTCTGTTTTTCAATTGGTTACACATGGTAGCAGAAAGGGTGTGATTGTCCATCCTCAGTCCCAACATGTAGGTCCATGAAAGGCCAGATTTATGAATCCATCATTTGCTTCTAGTTTTCCCCCATTTAGGGGGCTATTGTGCATATTGCTTCATGGAAATTAATGCAAAGCAACAGGAGAGTAGAGAATAGTGAGGTCACATTGAGAAGTAGTTACTGAGGATGCTCGTTAATTGATTCATTCAGCAGCCATCCTACCCAGCTTTATTTATGCTGGGGTTTCTGCAAAATGACAACCCCCAGTCAAAGTCCTTCAGAAGTTGCTTGTAAATGATCAACAACACACATGCTGAATCCACAAATGCTGAGGCTCAACTGTGTGCATGTACTAATGTGTGAGTTAGACTAGTGCAGAAATAACACAAACGTTGGAATCTCCTTAACCCACTAATTGAAAGTTAGAGGAATTCAGACCAGCACATGGGGTTTACTTTTTTTTTTTTGCCAGAAGGCCTTTCTCTTCAGAGTTTTTCTTTTTCAAGAACCATAGACATTTATTTTATTGCCACTCTATTCTGCTGCACGGTTTTTCCCTGGGCTAAGAATGGAATTACTAACATTGCTTGTTCCAAACTCTGAAAATTGCTGTCAGGTGTGAATTAAATGTTTTATTTGAAGATTTGAGCTCCTTCTCATCAGTCACAAAGGGAATTTTTATGGAATAATACTCGTTGGCACTAATATAATTCTTTTCATCTTAGACTCTGTAAGTGCTTTGTAAACCTTCTCTCCTTGCGATCTACATTTCAATGAATCTTATCACCCCTCCATCTAGCATCACTGACAGAAGCTTTATACTAACTCCCTCAACTCTTCCAGAGCTGCTTTCAGTGTTCCATGTAAGTGGCAAACATTTGAATAATTGTTTCTGGGTACTTAGAGAAAGGAATAAGACAACTTTGATGATCTTCTGGCATACTGTGAATTCAGAACTTAGGAGGGGTGCTAAGGGTAAAATGTGCCCCCTTGAGCTGACAGGGTGAGAGAAAAAAATAATGTTAATAACAGATTAAAAACAAGCAAGAAGCCAATTACCCGCCCCCTACCCCATCTCTCCCGCCAAATCTACCGAAACTTTTCTTGATCTTAAAAAGATCACAACTGGGGCCTTTAAGGTTTTTCACATTCCCATTTGGGTGTTCAAATTATAACTGTTTTCTAGTCGCTTATTGTCATAACATGTTTGGGTTGGAAGGAATGGTAGACACCACTCATAATCCAGCCAAATTATTCCATAGCTGAAACACTGAGGTTCAGAGACATCTACTGATTTAGTCAAGATCAAGCACAAATTAGTGCAAAGT